GGTTTATTGTCTCGGAAAAAAAAAAAAAAAAAAAAAAAAAAAAAAAAAAAAAGAAGGTAATTTTGGGGGATTTTTTTTCTCGCTTTTTTTCCCCTCCTCCTCGCGTGGTTGATTTTTTTTTTCCCCCCTCTCCCCCTTTTTCTCTTTTCTCTTTTTCCTCCTCAAATCCCACCCACCGAATCCCCTCGAAGCCGGAGAAAAAAAAAAAGAAAAAAAAAAGAAGGTAATTTTGGGGGATTTTTTTTCTCGCTTTTTTTCCCCTCCTCCTCGCGTGGTTGAATTTTTTTTTTCCCCCCCTCTCCCCCTTTTTCTCTTTTCTCTTTTTCCTCCTCAAATCCCACCCACCGAATCCCCTCGAAGCCGGAGTGCGGGCGAGCGGGACAATACAAAACAGAACCACATGGATGGGCAGGAAAAGGGGGAAAGGGAGAAGAGCCCGGATCCCGGGCGGCCGCGAGGGAGCGGCCCCGAGCCGAGCAGCTCCATCTTTAGGGCTGGAAGACTCCGGGCCAGCCCCACATCCCGGGATCCTTCCCGCCCTCCGCATCCCGCCGCGGCCCCCTGGGTTTTTTTGGGAAGGGGAATCCAGGGATTTGGGGGTTTAGGGGAGGGAAAGGCTTGGGGAGGGGAGAAATGGGATTTTATTTTTTTTTTTTTTCCCTAGGAAAAGTGGGTGTAGGGTGTTGGTGGTAGGGGGTTAATGCTCGCATTCCATGGGATGTGTTCTCAAAAAATCATAAATGCACAGAATGTATGGGGTTTGTTCCCAAAAAATAATAAATGTAAGTATTCAGTGGGGTTTGTTCCCAAAAAAATAATAAATGCACGGATTCCAAAGGATTTGTTCTCCCAAAATAATAAATGCACGGATTCCTTGGAGTTTGTTCCCAAAAAATAATAAATGCACAGATTCCAAAGGGTTTGTTCCCCAAAAAATCATAAATAATAAATGCAAGGATTCCGTGGGACCCAAAAAAATCATATATGCACGGATTCCATGGGGTTTGTTCCCCCCAAAAATAATAAATGCATGGATTCCATAAGGCTTGTTCCCAAAAAATCATAAATGCACAGATTCTGTAGGGTTTCCTACCAAAAAATAAATGCGTATTTAGCCAAGGGTTTTTTTCCTTCCCAGAATTAAATCCACTTATTCCAATGGATTACCCCCTCAAAAAAAATTAAACTCACTTATTCCAATGGATTTTCCCCCCCAAATTAAATTCACTTATTACAAGGATTTTTATTCCCTAAAACTAAATCATATCTAACCAAGGATATTTCCCCCCAAAACAAAAGCACATCTTGCAAATATTCCCCAAGAAATCAATTTATTGCCTTTATTTCAAAGGTTTTTCCTGCTCCAAAAAGAAATGTACACGTTAAAAAGTGGATTTTTCCAGGAAATAAATAGAAATATTCTCTTTATTCCAGGTGGGGTTTTTTTTGCTCCCTCCCCTTATTCCAGGGTTTTTTATAACCAGGAGAAAATTTCCTTGATAGGAAGGACAGGAATTTGTGGTGCCTTGGGAATTTGGGATAAATTTGGAATATTTGGGATAAATTTGAGATATTTCACTGGGATAAATTTGGAATATTTTGCTGGGATAAATTTGAGATATTTGGGATATTTCACTGGGATAAATTTGAGATTAAATTTGGCATAATTTGGATTAAATTTGGGATAATTGGGATACATTTGGGATAGATATTTTTCTAGGATAAATTGGGAATATTTGGGATAAATTTGGCATATTTCGCTGGGATAAATTTGGGATAAATGAAATTAAATGTGGAAAATTTGGGATATTTCACTAGGATAAATTTGAGACATTCCTGAATTTATTGCAATTTTGGGATGGGCCCCGAGTCTGTGGAATTCCGATGGAAAAGCCCCAAAATCCCCCAAAAAGCCTTGGAAGGAAGGGAAAAGGGTTCAACCCCCCCAGGTGAATTCCTTACTCACGGAATTATCCCGGGAGCGCTCCAAAGGAAGCGGGGCTGGTTCAGGGATTTTCCAGCCTTTCCATGGGAACGGGATCCCTAAAAAGGGGATTTTCCCCCAAAAGGCCTGGCTGGGATTTATAGGGAGCCAGGAATGCCGGGGCAGGCCGGGACACGCCGGCTGGAACTGGTTTTACCGGGACACGGAAAAACTGGAATTGCTGCAGTTCTGAGGGAGCGGGAACGGGAATGGCTGACCCGGGATAACCCCGGAGCTTCCCGGGGTGGGATCTGGGACATCCATGGGATTGGGATCTCTGGGAAAGGGGATTTGGGATATCCATGGGATTGGGATCTCTGGGAAAGGGGATTTGGGATATCCATGGGATTGGGATCTCTGGGAAAGGGGATTTGGGATATCCATGGGATTGGGATCTCTGGGAAAGGGAATTTGTATGGTCTCACCTGGGATAACCCTGCAGCTTCCTGGGGTGGGATAGCAGGAGATCCATGGGGATAGGGATCTTTGGGAAAGGGGATTTGTATCCCTGAATGGGATATCCATGGGGATTGGGATCTCTGGGAAAGGGGGTTTTGTATGGTTTCATCTGGCATAACCCTGGAAACCCTTCCCAGGGATGGGATCTGTGGGATCTGTGGGATTCAGGGATGGCATCCACGCCAGGCCCCTCCCAGCCAGGCCACAGCTCCAGAGGTTTTCCAGGAACTGCGGAGGCTCCGGGTGACACAAATGGGATTTTCTGGGGATTTAGTTTGGGATGGGGCAGATCCAAGGCCTGGCCAGGAATTGCCTGGGAATTGGTTGGGAATTGGCCAGGAGTTTGTAGGGTTTTGCTGGGAATTGGTTGGGAATTTGCTGGGAATTTGTAGGGTTTTGTTGGGAATTTGCTGGGAATTTCTTTGGAAGGAGCAACGGCTGAGCTGGAATTCCGGATCCACTCAACTTCAGAGCTGTGCCGAGGGATTTGGTGCCAGAAAAGTGGGATCAGGGATCAGGCCCAGCCCTGCCCCTCTTCTGCCTCCCACGGATCCCAGGGATCCATCCCAGATTCCCTCCAGGCTGGGAATTCTTGGGGAGCAGATCCTGGGCACTCCATGGGAGCCATTCCAAAAAAAAAAACAAAACAAAAAAAAAAAACGCTTGGGAAAGTGGCTCCAGGGATTTCCAGGGAATGATGGAGGAAAGGGAGGCTCCAGGACCAAATTCCAGGTGTTCAATGTCCCTTTTCCTCTGGAAAAGTTGGGATGTTCCTTGGGAAAGGTGGGAATGATGCACTTAAAGCCCCACAATTCCATGGATTTCTGCCCAAATCCTGGTGTTTAGTTAATAAACATTCCCAAAAGCCTCGGGAAATGTTGGGATATTCCTTGGGAAGGGTGGCAATGATGCCATTAAATTCCATGGATTTATGTCCAAATCCTGGTGTTTAACTAGAGAATAATCCCAAATCCTCTGGAAAAATTGAGATATTTTTCTGGGAAGGGTGGGAATGATGCCATA